GATTATGATGGAATAGAGTTTTGTGAAATGATGTCTCATCGAGTCAATACCATCCTTAATCGTCTGTTAAACATCTGCTTCAGCGATGACTGTTAATTTTTTCTGAATGGCAATGTTGATAGACAAAAATGTCGCTATTGGAGTGACGAAAACCCATATATTTTTCGCGAAGGGCATACACAACACCCACAAATGGTTGATGTTTGGATTAGTGTGAAGTTAGCCACAGTTTCCTAGCCACACTTTCTGACGTAGGGAAAATAATATGCGGGATAGAGGAGCAAACGCGGGCGGTGTTGTCAGATTTTCTATTTTTTCTGTTTCTGATGATTGTCAACTAAAGTACCCGAAATATTCTGTGTGCCAAAAATTATCGAGCTACATTGGAAATGAAACATATGGAATGTTATATATACAGAGTCAAATCAATTTGTTTGGCCGTATTAGGCGAGGAAAAAAATAATTTCTCAACAAGACCATCAGTAAAGTAACAGAAATATTTCGAGAGCCAAGCATTTTTGTATTTCGTAAAACTGAAGACATACAGATGAAATTATATACAGAGTCAAAACGATTTGTTTGGCCGTAATAGGCGAGAAAAAAAATAATATCTGACAAGACTTTAACTAAAGTACCCGAAATATTCCGTGTGAGAAATTATTTTTTTCCTCGCCTATTACGGCCAAACAAATTGATTTGACTCTGTATATATAACACTCCATATGTTTCCTTTCCAATGTAGCTCAATAATTTTTGGCACACGGAATATTTCAGGTAATTTAGTTGAAGTCTTGTCAGACATTATTTTTTTCCTCGCCTATTACGGCCAAACAAATTGTTTTGAACATGTATATAATTTCAACTGTATGTCTTCAGTTTTACGAAATACTAAAATTCTTGGCACTCGAAATATTTCTGTTAGTTAACTGACGGTCTTGTTGAAAAATTATTTTTTTCCTCGCATATTACGGCCAAACAAATTGATTTGACTCTGTATATATAACACTCCATATGTTTCCTTTCCAATGTAGCTCAATAATTTTAGGCACACGGAATATTTCGGGTAATTTAGTTGAAGTCTTGTCAGACATTCTTTTTTTCCCCGCCTATTACGGCCAAACAAATTGTTTTGACCCTGTATATAATTTCAACTATATGTCTCCAGTTTTACGAAATACAAAAATTCTTGGCACTCGAAATATTTCTGTTAGTTTACTGATGGTCTTTTTGAGAAATTATTTTTTTCCTCGCCTAATACGGCCAAACAAATTGATTTGACTCTTTATATATAACATTCCATATGTTACCTTTCCAATGTAGCTCAATAATTTTAGGCACACGGAATATTTCGGGTACTTTGGTTGAAGTCTTGTCAGACATTATTTTTCTCCTCGCCTATTATGGCCAAACAAATTGTTTTGACCCTGTATATAATTTCAACTATATGTCTCCAGTTTTGTGAAATACAAAAATTTTTGGCACTCGAAATATTTCTGAGAATTTTTGACATTCGAAATCATTTGGGTAGATTATCGATAGTCTCCTCACGGATTTGTAAGACTTTATGTTGAGTATTGTATCAGAAACACGGTCTTCTTGTAGGTTTTGTTTATTCACTGGAAGAATTTCAATCATCAGAAACAGAAAAAATAGAAAATATGACATCGCCCGCGTTTGCTCCTCTATCCCGCATATTATTTTCCCTACGTCAGAAAGTGTGGCTAGGAAACTGTAGCTAACTTCACACTAATAATGTTTGGGCAGATATTTGGAAATGCCATTATGGGTCCATTATTTCTGGAAAAAAACTTGACAGGCTATCTGTACCTTGAAATGCTTGAAGAGACTCGATCCTCTTATAACTCAAGAGCTAGGAACTCAAATGGATGCAGAAGGTAATGAACTTTTGCAGGGGGATCTGTTACATTTCCAGCAGGACATTGCTTCACCTCATTATTTTCTTCCTGTCCGACAGTGGTTAAACGAGAGATTTCCGCCTAGATGGATTGGCAGAAGACGAGCAGTCGAATGGCCTCCGAGATAACCAAATTTAACACACTTGGATTTTTTTCTTTGGGGGCATCCTAAATCCGTTGTTTATAAAACACAACCTTCTGATATTGAAGAACTTAAAAAACTAATTACAGCGGCATACCAGTAAAATCCTAGTGAAGTTTTCCGTAATGTTAGAGAGGAGTTCGAAAACAGACTTTATTACTGTTTAGAGGAAAATGGACGACATTTCGCAGATAAGATTATAAGATAAGCGTTAGTAAATTACGTTGAGTTAAAAAGTAAAACTAAGTCAGACACATAAGTGGTACTTCGAGATTTAATAAGAACAACCCTGTCGGAAATTCTGCTTCACGTTCAATACCTTTAAGAAGAAGTGAAAGGATAAAAGGAACAGTACCAGCAACTGTTGATAACAGCAGTCAAATCCCTGACAAATCTCAAGAAAAAATGAATTTGCAAATTATGGAAAAATTCGAAATCAAACTCTATAGAGAAATGTTGAACTCTAAACATTGTTTCCGAACAGTTGCCATTACCAAGTCATAGTTTGCCCGATATTTCACTGGTTTGTTGGTGACGCCTCGTTTGATGTCGGATTTTCAGTAGACTCATCAATAATTAAACTGTTGGATGGAAAATCTTGATGAGGTTCTGCTTCCATTTCATTTTACAGTTTACTGGAGGCTTATGACAATCTCTTCCTTGTCGAACTTGGAAATATCGATAATTACTGTCCTTTTCTCCCGTACTTATTAACTTTTCATAAGAGGAACCACCTATTCGTGTGACACCCAAGTCAACTTGCCAAGTTTTTATGTCAGTGTTGGTGGTTTGACCAATCACCCGACATTCATTTTCCAATGGCATTTCAGGTTAGCTTCCCAAATTTCTGCAACTGCAGTTAATTAATGTATTCCGAAATAATAACCTCAAAATATCCAAAACAAATGTCACTACTATATCTAAATTTTACAGTAAACTGAAAGCTCCAATTTCAAATAAACAAAAATCCAATTTAGTATAGAAAATTTCTTGTATGGATTGTTCTAAAACATATATATGACAAACATCTAGACCTCTAAGTATTTTTGGTATGTGCTCTGCTGGTTCATCGTTTTCCAAACAGAGACTGTCTTCCGACAGTCCGAGTCTCTGCATCTGATGATTCTAATGACAGTGACCTGTAAGAAGGCCTCTAAGACATCGTAGTTCATCCCTGCTGTAGTCCAACAGCTGGTTGGTATCAAGCTTCGAAGGGTGAATAAACGTCTTGGAGTGAGCCAATCCTGGAAGATTCTGCCAGAAGTCCATATATCTGGTAAAGCCTAAAGCAATGCCAATAACAGGTTCTGGTCCGATGAAGCTGCTTACAGCACCCTCCTTTGCAAGGGAGTCAGCAGCCTCATTGCCTTCCAGGCCAGTATGGCCAGGAATCCAGACCAGAGACAATCTGTTAAGTCTTCCTATCGATGTTATTTTTGGCAATTTGTTACCAATTTAGACGTTGCTCGGTAGGAGCCAAAAGCTTCCAACGCCTCTTGACTGTCCGAGAATATTTTTATTGATTTGTGTATGAGGTTGGATTCTTCCAATCTCTCCGCACACAATTCAATAGCGTAAATTCCCGCTTGAAATACAGTTGCATAGGTTCCTAGGCATGTTGATATCTCTGCCCTGGCTCTGCGACCGAAAACACCTGTACCTGAACCTGGAGGTGTTTTTGATCCATCTGTGAACCAACAACTATCTGATCTTAATATTTCCTTCTCTTGGAGGATCCAGTCCTCTCTACTCGGGAACAGTACTTTATAAGGCAGTTCGCAATTGACAGTTGGAGGCATAAAGTCAAGAGGTCATTTCCAGAATGCTGTGACTTCAAGTGTCAACCAACAGTCTGTTGCACTCTGCATTAAATTGATTTGTGCAATTGGCATATATGCAGTCCATCTAGCCCCTCTCTTCAGAAAAATGTGGAGAGGAGGTAGGTCTAAAAGAACCTCCATGGCCAGTGTGGTTCTGGTGGCACCACTGATGGTCAGACAAGCCTGTCTCAGTAAGCCAAAGAGCTTCGTCTGGGCCGTTTGCTGTAAAGCCTTCGGTCCCCAGGCAATGGGAATGTTCCTCCTGACGAAAATCAAGTAGTTTTCATAAAAGAGCTCTAAAACAACGCATTTTAAACTTATCATTTCAACCTTTTTCTTTTAAAAATTATTTGAATACTTAAAAAAGAGGAATGAAATAATGCATCCAACATTTGAAGGGATTCGTTTCTATTTCACCATCTGGCAACATCGGTTATAGCCAATAAAGGACAATGAATCTGTTACCTGTATGAGACAAACAAAGATGACATATTTCAGAGGCGTGCTGTTCTGTTTACTTATGTTCCGAGTTCCGAGACATATTTTGTGACATATGACATTTTGTGCACCTAACCTATCTTCCTCTATATAAATAAATAACAAAACAACTGTTGTTTATGTGGCTTATGGAGGTGGTATTTAACTATAATTTATATTTTGCCTTAATTGTTGATTTATAAAGATAATTTTCCTTTTATAAAGTAGAATATCTAGGTACGTATAAATTATTTCAACTTGATATAGGCGCTGTTGCCAATATGTGAATTAGAAACAAATCCCTTCAAAAATTAAAACCCAACATTTGAAATATCAATTTGAATACTTTTCGAAGTGAATTTGAAAAACTCATGAATTAAACTCACTTTTATTTTGTTCAAACTTGCATTTGCTGTAATAACCCAAATTGAGGAACATTCCCCATTGCACCATAAGTGATCATTGGTCTGACAATCATCACATAAATCTATTGGATTTATGTGATAATTTGTATTCTGGAACGGAAAATTCCAGAATGCGAATCTGCACCTTGATCAATTATTCACCTTTCGAATCAAAACAATTTTGAAGTGACGTTCTAATTACATTTTTAAATTGAATTTTATAAAGTATATTTTCATTTTTGGGGAAGGGACAATTAATTATGTTTTTTTTTTAAATAATATCCATTCAAGTTTTTCTTGAAAACATAGTTACAGAATACTGAAGGAAAAATATTCTATGAAATTCATGAAAAAAATAAATCCCAATTATCGAGATGGCTTCAGTTTTAAAGTTATCTAAAAACCTGATCCATAAGTTTTATCCCATGTTGTGTACTGTTCCAAATCTTTGGGGGAAACACTTGACTTTACCCTCATCAATGCTTTATCAAAATCCTCTTTGAGCAGAGGTCGTACTTCGGCAGCTTGGATCTCTTCAATGAGTTTCATATCTATAGATCTGATGGGTCCCAAAGAAGCTTCTGAACACAAGTTTCGAATATCAGCACCAGAATATCCCTCCGAAAGTGTAGCAATTGTCTGAAAGTCTTCTTCTAACAAACGGTGGTTTTCATTTGAAATGAGTTTCTTAACGAGTTGTAATCGAGCCTGAGATAAAGAAAGAAAAATTAGTTCACTACTCAAACTATTACAGATCAATCTACCTCATATTCAGGTAGAGGAATGTATAATCTCTTGACGAAACGTCTACGGGCTGCCTCGTCTAATTCATGGGGTCTGTTCGTAGCACCAACGACAAGTATTCTTTCATCGTTGTCAGTGGTAGCACCATCTAACTGCACCAGAAACTCTGTTTTTATTCTTCTGGAGCTTTCATGTTCAGAGTCGTTTCTTTGAGAAAGAAGAGAGTCAACTTCGTCGATGAATATAACCTGAAAACAAAACAAAAATTGAAGGTTTGATCAACGAAATATTATTTTCTCTGACTATTGAAAAAACAACAATTATGTGACCGTTGAGTTAGCAGACAAAATAAGCATAACTCACACGTTTGAACCAATCACAGATGATCAGGTTCATAACTCATTATCTTGAGGCAAATCACAGATAAGCAAATTCATAATTGTACAATTATGTTTAAATTGTTTAGTAGCATAATTGTACAATTATGTTTTGCAAATTGTTGAGAATTTACCTATTGCAAAATTATTTTAAAATGTCAAACTTAATCATTGAACTGACATTCTCGTTTGAAAATATAAAGTTTTTATGAATTCGTTTGAACTCAAAATCTACAGAATGTCTGATCCAATTCCCAGCCTGGGTTTGTGTTTTATATGTAAGAAGAAGAAGAAGTAGAACTTTATTTCCAGATAGGCAAGCCTAATATAATAGTTATTTATGTATCAAGGGAATTAGGAGGGCCTTAATTACCGATGGCAAAGTTTGCGTCCCTCGGGCCTCTGGCCCGAGGGACAGCAATTGCCTGAGGTTATTAAGGCTCATTAATTCCCGTGGTACATAGATAATTTTATTTCTGACCGATTTCAATAAAATTTTGTTCATTTTTGAAACGGAAAAATGTACTGGATGTCTCTCATTAAATACTCTACAAACCTCTCTAGCACTTTTAACGTCATCTCCCGAAAGGCGTACAATTTCAATTTTCTCTCTTAATATCATTTCCATGGCAACTAAGATTTAAATTGAAATATGTAATTGAATGTAATTCCGTTATTTTCATTAAAAATATTTACGCTATTGGTTTTTTTTTCATCTGGCGGCACTTTATTGTTGAAAAAAAAAATTGTATATATCTGTTGATAAAGGGTGTTTTTTGTAACTGTTAGCTGTGTGAGTTTTTGAATTTTTGAGTTGTCATAACTTTGTTAATAATGAATATTTTTTCATGAAATTTTGGTCACACCTGTTTAGAGGCACTCTGAATCCAGTGGCGTAGTGATTTTTTCAATAAAATATCGCTAATAAAAATCCCGATTTTCGACTAAGAAAAAATATCGTAGTATGCCTTGAAACTTTAATAAAAATTTAAAATTTTGTCCCAAGGTAGACCTTTTAGTACTTGACATTTCAAAAACAAAATTATTAAAATCGGTTTACAACTTAAAATTTTAGGATTTTAGGGGGGTGTTTCCATTAAAAATGGGTAACACTGTATATAGGATACACGTTTACATATTTACTAATATATTCATTCAAAACAAAGGCTTAGTTATTATTATATTTTAAATATGAATTAGCTTTAATTCAGTTTTTCGTTATGAATGTTACAAAGTCCCTCTTGAATAGACGAAAGGAAGAAGAGTTTTTTATATTATTTGGTAGTTTATCGAAACTGTCCAGACTTTTGAAGAATAACGAGTTCATACTGCTACGTGAATTGGTCCTTGGTATGCAAAAATAGGTGTTCGATCTAGTATCATGATATTGTACTTCACTATTTGTGATTAAAAGGTTTACTAAGTATTTCACTAGTTCGGACTTCCATTGTCTACTATATAAAATGATTTGAAATCCCTGAAACAAGTAAAAAAGAAGAATTAAAAGTGAATAGCTGAAAATAACAATTATATTAAGCAAAATAAACCTGAAATGAAATAATATTGAAATAAAATACAAGTGAAAATAGAACAATTGAATAAATACACACAGCATCCTAGGATGCTGTGTACGAAACTGTTATTTCCAACTGAAGGGCGAATTCTTTACACTTTCACCAGTCATAGCCAACATATATATGGAGTGGTTTGAAACTCTGGCCATTGAAGAAGCCCACAAGAAACCTCGAGTCTGGTTGAGATATGTTGACGACACCTTCATAATATGGAACCATGGGAATACTGAACTAGACGCCTTTCTGAAACACATCAACAGCGTGAGACCTTCCATCACTTTCACAATGGAGAAGGAAATCCACAATGAATTGCCATTCTTAGACGTTTTGGTGAAGAGGACCGACACTAAGTGGGAAACATCTGTATACCGAAAACCCACTCATACGGGACAGTATCT